GACATGCAGGTTAGTAGTATCATTAATACTAGTTTTAAAACAAGGATTGGCTGTCCAGGAAACCAGCCTGCATACTTTGACTGAGTCACTGCTGTAGGGTTTATTTGTTTGAGCAGCCATGCTATAAAAACAATGTACAGTATTGTCATGATACTTGAAATAACTGTTTAATGGAATTGTTGGTTCAAGGATCTTGTCCTACTCATTGACTGCCTCAATTGGCAAATGGAAAGACAAGTAATTAGCTGTACCCTGTGTGGCTGATCCAAACTCATTGCAGCTTTCAGAGCTAAGGGAACTGAGGACTTTATGCAGTCAAGTGCTCCACATAAATTCCTTTGTATCATGGGCCAGATTTAGGATCTACAACTGCCTAAAGAGTTGTGTTCACTTTCACATGAGTAAAAGTTTGATCCTTATCCAACTTGAGAGAGAAGGAAAATAAAATTTCACTGCTACAAAATGCTTTTCCATGGTGCACTCTGAGAGCAAACATTTTCAGAGCTGGCCTCTACAGAATTTCCAGAAACCATTTAATGGTTTCACAAAGCCTAAGAAATATAAAATCCCTATAAAATTAGGCCCATTCCAGTAATCTTGGTTCTGCCACATGAGCAAGGCAAGTGCCTTTATGCTCTAATTTTAGACTCAATACAATTTGCTGACAAGACTGCAAATGGAAAATAATTCCTATTGGGAGCGGGAGCAAATTGATAATAATGTTACTGAAAATTTGATATAAAGGCAAACAATCCTTCCACTTGTCCTCTCATCAGGGACAACCAAAGGCTCCAACAAACTTCAAGCAGGACAACTTCCTGGCTGCAACCACAGAAGCAGGTGGCTCATGCCAGTATCTCCCCCAAGCCACAAAGGGTTAAATTGCCGTATGTAGCTGCTAAGTATGCATGTGAAAATTTCAAAAGCATGCTAGTGAGCCATCTGGCTCCTGCTCCTACTGGGTATTTGGGGATGAAAAGGGAAACTGGAAAGGTAAATAGTGTATGGCTTGATGTGTTGATTTTCAGCTGAGATTTCTCTCTTCGGTGCCTAGTCATATTTGTCCATCTAAATGAGTGGGATTGACTGTGTCATCCCAAAAAGGGGTGAAAAAAATTAGCATGTAAGCTCTGGGAGAGCTGTGCAAAGCCAGACTCTGCCTCATGTAACAGCTGAGGCAAATTTATTCTGGTCTGCATCCAGAAAAAGGCCTCAGCCCCTCAGTGTCTAACTTGTGTGTAGGGATGGAGGGAGGCTCCTCACCCCGGGTACAAGCAAGATCAGCTGCCTTGGACTGAGATTCCAGAGAGCTGCCCCACAACTGGGGCAAGAGTCAGGATCACCACGGAGAGTCAGGCACCAGCTTGGACTGGAAGGAGAATGATTTTGTGTGTGCCAAGCCAGCATTTTTTCAGTTTTTATTATTATATTTTATTTTCCCCTGTGGTAGAGATCAGTGGTGGGAGAAAGCAGGATGCTGCTCTGCTGGAAGCACTCTGGTTTGTCACCTGGGCCAGTCTCATTTGGGAGGCTGGCCTGGCCACATCCCTGACACACTTCCATGGCTGGAAGGTCTCAAACCTGGCCAGTGATGACAGTTGGAAAATATACCAATTTAATTTTTTAAAAATTTTATAACTTTAGCCAGTTTTGACAGAATCGCAGAATGAACTAGGTTGGAAAAGATCTTTGATATCATCGAGTCCAACCTGTGTTCAGCTTTGCCCCAGGGGAAGGGAATTGGAGTTTTTTTCCAGGGCATTGTTCTACCAGGTGAAGGCCTGATGAGGTTAATATCTCAACAGAGTGGGAGTGGCCCAAAAGATACCCAAAAAGATAATGACCATCAGCAGAACATCAACAGACATCTACCTCAGACACTGCTCCCTGGCATGGTTGGAGACACCTGATCCAGAAAAGACTGATAAGGAAATCAGGGGGTGAGTACCTAATTAACATCAGAGGTGAAGAAATCCAGATCCAGTAGGAAACCAAACTACATAACTTGGAGCCAATGAACATTGAACCAATGAATCTCTATGGGCCTTGACTGTGAAAAATCTGGTAAAATTCATGTATCATGGAATTATTTTCTCTGCACACCTGGGCTATGTGTGAATGAAATTATTTGTGTTGCACATCCTGGCCAGAACAACAACATCCTGGCCAGAAATAAAGTAATGCCTTGATTCTCTAACACTAAAAATGTTGTTGGAGGGCTTTTGTTTCTCCCACAGTCTTGGTGACAAAACCAATGCCATTTTTTACCTGTGACTTTGTGTGTCAATGCACACTGCACGCCTCTGATTCCATCTGTAGGCAATGGAGACTCAAAACTCCTGAAGTCCAGGTTGGGCTATGAGCAAAAGAAAAAGCTAGTCCCAGGACTGAACCTAAAGCATGCCCCAGCTCTGCTACAGCTGCCCACACTCTTCATCACACAACACCCTAATCCCACTTGTGGCATGTATTCCCTCCTCCACCTGCCACAACAGTTGAAGTTCCCACAGTAGCTTGCCCTCCATGTCCTGATCCCTGTGACTCTTCCTCCTCTATAAAAGAAGCTAAAACAACTCTTTCTCGCCTAGCTTAAAAATAAGCTGTGCCTTGAAGTCATCTATTTATGCCTTTTTTGGTTGTAGTTTTATTGAAAAAGCTGGTATTAACATATTTATATTTTTATTCAACAACAGTTAGCTAATTTGTGCAACACAAAAAATGCAGCCATGAACAACAGCTTTCAAAACAATCAGATTTACCAACTTTACCATCACTTACTCTACACCACTGAAAGTTCAAACTAAAAAGAGAAAGAAAAGTTGGAAACGTTCACAATGACGATGTTAACTTTCCATACATTCAAGAAACCAGGAAACCGATCTGTAACAGTGATGTCAAAGACAGGAACGGAATACTGGTCTTTGAAAGGTTTCTATTTATTTCCTCTAGAATTACTTCATGGTATTTTGGCTGGGTATTTAATTAGTTTTATAAAGCTCCAAAGATATATTTGTTTATTTAATTTTAACATGTTCTTTTTGGTACCCAAAGCTGAAACAGAGTAAGGTACTTCAAATTAAATTAAAAAAAAAAAAAGGTTGCATTAAGATCTGCTTTAGAATAAGTTATCTATAGAATCTTACTTGAGAATGTTAAAAGCTAAATATATGTTTTGCAGTATCTCTAGCTGTAAATGCCAATATGAGCTGATAGCAATTTTTTTTCTTTTTGAGCTGCAAAGATTAATGGAGGGGTCCAAAAGTCAAAGAAATTGTATGACACCCTTGAAGCAGTAGTTTGGCTTTAACAAGCTCTCTATACAATTTACGACACTCTTAAACCTTTTTACAAGGAAAAAGAAAAGGAAAAGGCAATTCTGTTAAATTTTGTTAGAATAAATATGTACATATACTGTCCATGCCTGCTACAGCACACAGTATTTTATAAACAAACATTCTTTGTTCCCTTTAAAATCACCCTACACATTTCATACCGTATGTGTTTAGTGTGGCTGGAAACTGGGGCACATGTATTTGTGCTTCTACACACAAAATATACAGCATTGATCTAGAAAACTTCAGACAGATTTCAGGTGTGGTGTTGAGATGTCATATAAAAGCTCTAGACTTTGTTTTTTTATTTCTTGTAAGCAGATTTTTACCCACCCTTCCCCCAAACCAAAATACAAAAGCATGCAGATCCCTTAATCAGTACATTCTCCACTTACCAAGAAATCAGTGCATAATGGCTTAAAGACTTTTTTTTCTGAGGAGTTTTAATACGGGCAGATTAACAGGTCATGTGAGTTGTGCTCTTTTATTCATGGTTAGAGTAGGAATCCTTTGGGATATTGAATTTTCTGCCAGAGCTATTAAGGGTGCAGCAGAACTTTCTTTTCCTGGATTAAGAGGACTTCCTGCCCATGGCATCGTTCCCGTGCCATTCCTGCATGCCTTATTTTTTGTGTACTTTCCTTTTCCATTTATCATCATTACAGAACAGAGATAGATCTAACAGCATTTCTATGGAGAAAGGTTTTGTTAGGTTTGGATTTTTCAAATTTTCATGTTTCTCGAGGACTAATTTTGTCTCCCAGAAGTGGCCTCATTTAAAAGTGTTAAAATTCACTGAGCGGTGCTGCCTCTTGCAGCACCATTATTGTCACAGTTACAGATACCAGGCATTGCCTGTGCTCCCTAAAGGCCAGGATTAACATAACCATTCTGCAAACAACAAACAAGGGACTTTATCAAGTGTCTAGCAGAGATGTAACTTTGTTCCCACTCAAGTTGGTTGCTGCTTTCAAGGAGAGCACTTATACCCAAGGTTTCCAGAACTCTAACCCCAAATGGTAGCACGGGTTTGTGTGTGAATTGCCAGGCTGTGTCTGACCAGGCAGTCCCTCCAGAGTTGCAATGCCAAGTTTTGTAATGGTCCTCACACAATGAAGATACTACTTAATTTTTTTTAATAGAGCAAAGAGAACCATGGAGAATAAACTTCTTAAAATAAGCTGGCTGAGTAACTATACCAGTCTGTCACTTAGTCACTTGGGAAGGTGAAGCACAAAGTAATGTGATAAATAAATAAATAAATAAATAAGAGGATATTGTAAAGAAGGGAATGGGATGGGAGAGAAAGGGGCAGCTTTTCACCAGCAGGGATTCTGCTTCCAGCTCCAGTTCTCATGAGGTCCCTCCAATCTGCCACATGCTCTAAAGGGATGTGGCTATTCATTCCTTCAAACAGGCTTGGCCTAATTGAAAGACAAGAAAACAGCACTGGGAAAAAAACCAATCAAGAGACTGAGGCAAAAAGCTCTAACAATGTGGTAAATGCTGTGCACTGCAAAAGCAGGAAGGGCACCAGAACACCACAGTCCTGCAAACCACTGAGACCCTCAAAAGGATGGACAGGGGCTGAGGAGTCTCAGCCCTCCTCAGGAATAAACTGAATAAATATCCCTGCTTGTTTAAAGGAACCGATACAGACCACAGTACTGGATTTGCACTCGTGCCTTTTACTCATACAGTTGCAGTGATGGAAAAGAATTGGCTTGCCACCAATAATGATACAGGCTGAGGGATGAAAGGATGCAACCTACAAATCCCACCACAGAAGCGACAATTTTTGTGAAGATCACATCCTTCTACAACTCTCAAGAGGCTGGTTTGTAAATATAGAGGGATATTGATAAATCTAGTGCATTTCTGAGTTCACTTTATCCTGAAATATGTACAGATTGTTTGTCGCTGCTATAGCAATGATGTTCTCGGTTGGGTGCCATGCTGTGTGCAAGATCTTCTTAGTAAAGTCCAAACTGTCAACACTGATGTCATCTTTCCTCCTCTTGCCTCCAACGCAGACTCTCCGGGGCTTAAGGATGGCTCGTGGTTTGCTGCTCTCCCGGGAAGCCTCCAAGGTCACATCCCGCTTGGTGTTGCGGTCAAACATTCGAAAGAAGTTGTTATATGCACCTGTCATTATCACACTGCAGAGACACAGAGACACAACAAAGGCAGTTAAACAGCAGCCTGTGCAAAGCCTACTGACACGACTGGATCAGGACAGCCCAGTCTGACCTTAGGGTCAGCTGTCTTCTGGTTTCAGATGGGAAAGAGTAAGGAGAAAAAAGGGATTTACCCAGCGCTCCCCAAAATGAAGAGTTTTCTTCTACCAACGCCTTCCCCTCCCATATTATGCAATGAAAATTACAGTTACCTCAAATAATGTCTGCTCCCTGACCTCATGAGAATCACATCAGAAGATAATAAAAGCAACATGTTTCATTAAGTTATTTTTAATTACCCTCCAGCTTTTTATGAGTGCTTAAGGATGATACATTTCAGGCTTTTTCCCTTTCTCTGGAACTTCACCTTTAATGACAGCTGAGTTTAACCACGATTCCAGAAATAGTCTTAAAATTTCCCACATATTTCAAATCTTTTGATACAATTCTGAAAAATCACGTTGAATTTGCAATTGTAAATTCTTTCCAGATGAAACTCTTTTCCTTGCTGAAGCCATAGATCTTGCAAGTCCAGACATCATTAAAATTTGTATCTACAATGCTTCTTAGATTAAATAAACACACTGGTGTCAGGATTCTGGCATCTCTTATATGACGTTTGAATGAAACATCAAGTTAGGATATATTTCTGGGTCTTGGAGAAAGGGACAAAAAACATACCTCGATCTGTATAAAAATTACCTCATTAATCAGCTTGCATTTTGAAATAATAGATTGCCAGTTGCTTCATTCCCCTAGTCCCTAGGGGAGGATATTTTGTCACTAACTTTAATGAATTCAGGATTTCATCCATGGCCCTCAGGTTATTGGATTAGCATAATCATGGGTTTCAGAGCCTTGTTTGAAAGCTCATCCCCTGTGAACTTTTTCCAAATGTGAAACCAGGGCTGTTCTCTCCTATCTCAGCCCCAAACAGGGTGGTTTTGTTCTGAATTTCCATTCTGTAGGAGAGTATCCACTCCAAATGGTCAGGTCTCCACAGGAAAAGCTGTACAGTTTTAAGACTCAGGCAATCAGTAACTATTTGCCTTTCTAATAGAGCCCAAAAGAATGTATTTGACGTGCACGGCATTAATAAACAAACCTCCATCTCAAATGACAGCTGCTTTCACACTTTGCTGTTGGGGGGGGAATCTGTGTTGAGCAGCAGACTGGCCAGGGAAACACGGAGCATATGGGAGAACATGGGAGAACTCACAGGCACGAGCCACTCTCCACCCTGCAGACACTCACTGGCTGATAGGATTAGATGCTCCTGGATTCAGGAGTGCCTCACAGTGTGTGCACAGCCTCCAGCCAGAGCTGCCTTGATCTCATTTGGGGCCATTAGGAGCGACTGTAATACAAATGAATGATACACTGCAAAAGCACAAATGTGAGCTGTGCCCCTCCCTCATTGCTGTGGCTACAGCTGGGGATGGGAACAGCTGCTGCAGGGAAACTGGTGCTGGGTTTGTACACTGGGATCACCCATCTCCACCCTGCTCCCATGTCTGCTGATGGCAGCTGATCCCACAGAGCTCTGTGCAGCTCCTGGAGTGCCAAAGGGAACTGCTGCAAACCAGGCAGCGCAGCACAGAGACCCAGCACACACTGCCCTCGGCTCACCTACAGCCTGCATCCCACGAAGAGGGGCTGCAGGGGGGATGCACAGGGGCACCTGTCCACATGCAGCCCCATCCAGCCCTGCAGGGAGCTCCTTGTGCTCTCCAGCAGCAGGACCCACCCCTGGTTGCCTGCAGAGAGGTTTCCCTTTCCTCCTCACCCGCAAAAGGCCTGGCACAATCCTGCCTAGCACGGCACAAGTTAACAACCTCACAAGCTAAAAAACAGGAGTCAGTGTGACAGCTTGATAAAATGTATCCCAGTAGAAAAGAAAGCCTATTGATCAAGATTAGTGCCCATTTCAGAAATTGAATCAACAGCAGTAAATCAAATGTTTCATTCCTTCCAAATCACCATGTCTTGTCATTACAGCTCCTGCTGTAATGGTTATTCACAACATGAAGAAGTTGAGGTTATTTCATATCTCAGCACTAACATACACAATTTGTGATGCAGTCCATCTGTACATTTTCCCCCAGGCAACATTTTGAAGCAGGTTCATAATGCTGGGGCACCCCAGTGCCCCAGGCTGCAGAGCTGTGGCTCCCAGGGGAAAGAGGAGCATCCCTCCTGATGGCAGTGGGAACTGTCAGAGAAGCAGCTTTCATGCTGGCAGAGTACCAGTAAACCAAACGCAGAGAGAGGTGTTTGTTAAGGGTCCTATTTTAGCAGGTTTTGCTTGCAGTAAAACTGCCTTTACAGTCCATTTGCTTTTTAATTTCTTGAACTGTCGCATATTTTTAAAAGTCTGCTTTCTTCAGTTGGATTTACTGCAGTTATTTTTTAACATATGTAGATGACTACTTTTCATGCTGGCCCTATTTTTCTGCAGTTTAATGGCTCAGTAAAAACAGCATTATGTAAATGAGAAAGTGTCCATTCTTGTTCAAGGTCACAAACACAGATGGATTATAACCTTACCTGCTGCTTAAAGTAATAAAAGAGAGTGAAAACTAGATGTAAGCCTGCAATTTTTCCTGTTCAGGATAATACAACGTACAATAATGGAGTCTATGTGATAAGGAGATTTTTTTTTTAAATAGCAGAATATAAATTGTAGCTCAATGTAGGAAGAGTCAGTTCTGTATTCCCAGACACTGCTCTGCACAGCAGTGTTATGACATGGGCTTGCACAAAACCCTTGCAGGAGAGGCTGAGTCAAGAAGCCAAAGCCCCTCATTCAAAACAACCCACACTACTTCATAGTTGTGTAAGGCAGCAGCCCAGAAAAGCTCTAACCACCTTTAATTTTCCTTAAGAGGCAGGTTTACAAGCTGTGCTGCACAAGGTCAGAGGTACCATCATCTCCACCACGCAGAGGTATTTCGGACACAGAACACGCTCCAGTGCACCCTGAGGAGCAAAGCTGCAGCCTGACTGCACCAGCTCAAAACACCACAGCTACAGGCAGCATGATTACAAAAAACCCCAAATAAAACAACACCACACCTCATCTCCTCCCAAACAAAACCCCCCAAACCAAACAAACAAAAAAGCAGGGAGAGACCCCGATGGCTGTAGCACAACTACCACTGCCTACACTTCACCCCCTGCAGCCCAGCCAGTGCTCTGGAAGGAGACAGCATCCCACACCTGCAGGGCCATGAATGCATCTGCACAGCCCCACATTAACCCTCCTGTGCTGCCCTGGGCAGGGAATGCTTCCCTCTCAGCACAGAGCTGCTCTGCAGAGCACCTGGAGTATTCTCTGCTTCCTCTGGTTGATCTGCTCCAAGCAAGGTCCTGGCAATTCTTCAGGTATGTGTGTTTGGAGTGACAACACAAAATGTTACTGATTCCTCCTCCCTGCACTGGCACTGGGCATACTTGCTTATCGGTGGTACAATCTGAGGCATCTCACTGCCAAACTTCAGTACTCATGTGGGGTCACTGCAACCCAGTCTTACCCCTCCTTTTTTTTACCAATAACAAATGTATTTTTACAGAAGGTAAAAGGTGAAAGGAAAAAACTCCAGTGCAAGAGGAATCTTTTATTAACTTTTCTCTTCACTCCCTCCCTAGTTCTCTTTTTCTCTTTCTATCCCTCTGATTCTGATTCTGCCTTTACATTTTCCAAATAGGTTTCCCTTTCCCTCTCTCTTCATTCTTCCCTCTTCTTTCATTTCCATCTATCCTGCTCTACAGCTTTAAAATAAAAACCTGCCTTATCTGCTTCTCTCTTACTTTTCCCACCCCTTTCAAATCTTTGTTTTACTTCTGTAAGTCTCCTTGCTCACCCTTTCTCCCCCTACTCTCCAGTCTTGAAGACAACTTGCTTGGCTTTCCAGGTGTTTTGGCTTGCATCCCTGCCTTGCTTGGGCTGAAGGCTGGGGAAACAGCAAATCCCCAAGAACCAAAGCTCATTTGGGCAGGAGAGGTGGTTCCCAAATTAGCAGAACATTTACTGTACACCTCCCATTCAGTTCAGGCTTCTTCACTCTCTGCCATGTTGATCTGGGAGCCAGCAATAATTCAGGTAGGGTTGTTTTTTCTAAAAGTAAATTTTCAATCTGTAAAATTGTCTGAAATAAAGGATTTGAGAGAAAAAAAGTTCTTCCTGTTTGCATTGTAACAGTAATACTTAAAAGGAGCAGATGTTTATCTATGGATAATGATTTTATTAAATATGACACCAACACTGTACCACTGATGTTTAATTTAGGGCCAGAGTTTCAGGGTCTACAGAAGCAGCTTCTCAACTACTGATGGCTTTGGCATCTTTAATTATTTTAATACTTTGAAGTATCTGAGTCTCAATAATTTGGTTTTGTTAGTGACTTGGTTAAATAAAATAATTCAGTATGGGATTTTCCCTGCTAAAAAGTTCTGCTTCTCTTGGGTGGTCAACAAACTCTCTACTTCACCAGCTTCAAAGGCATTTGATTAGGATTTTCACAATTTTACTAACCTGCAATGAGATATTCCATAATATTTTTTAGGCAATGAAATTTCATCAAGCACGTCAGTCACTGAGAATTGGCATATCTCCGTATTTCTCAGATTTGTTATTCCCTTACTTCAAGCCAACCTCTTAAATGTTATCCATGTTGCAGCCATCCTTGCACTCAACAGCCTTCATCAAAATTGCTCCACTCAGCTCCATTCCTGGATGTCAGGGATTGCCCTGAAGATTTGGGGTATCAGCTGGAATTAAGGCTTGCTTAAAACACAAACCATTACTTGCTCCACACTGCTTTGTGTTGCTTTTCTCGTTTAGGGTTTTTTGTTTGCTTTTTTTGGATAATTTTTGGGCTAACTCTGGCCCAAATCATTCTTCCCAGATGCAGAGAAGTTTTTATTCACCTGCAGATTTCTACTGTCTGGAGAAATTCAGCTCGTTTCATAGCTCCCCTCTT